GCAGACCCAACTCAGAGCAAGCTGCGGGCCGAAACTTTTCATACGCCCGGCAAAGCCAACTGCCCGAGCCGGCGGGTCGCGACGAACGCCCGCAGGCGGGCTGCTCCGGCTCAGGGGCGAGCTCGTTCTCCATGTCGCCCCGGCTGATGTACTCGCCGGCCCTCGCGGCACCACTGCCACGGGAGCCCGCCGAACTCGGCGGCCGGCGGGGACCAAATCATGGCGAGCACCCTGTCGCTTTCAATGCGCCGCCCACACCTGGTGACCGTGTCGTCCTCCCCACGGCGGCGGGGGAAGTGCACCACCCGCGCCCAAGGCCCCAGGCGAGCGAGGTAGTACTCACGACGACTGTAGGTACCAGGCGCGTAGATGCCCGTGGGGACGACCGGCCACTCTATCCGGCGGGTCGGCGCAAAGTCCGGTCGGGGATGTGGCCAAACATCGGATCGTCGTCGCTGTCGCCTGTTTGGAACGAGTGCTGGGCCCATTGCGGGCGCCACCTGGCGGGCAACGCCGCCAACCCCCAAAGAGGGTCGTGGGCGTACGCCCGCCCGGGCGTGTCCTCACCCAACCAGTCGATGTGAACGCGCGCCTGGCGCCACATCGCCAGCAGAGCCCGGCGGTCGTTGACCCGAAGAGCTCGGGGGCACACCAGCCAGCTCGGGCTACCAGGCGAACGGAAGCCCTGCAACCACGGCCGCGTGCTGGGTGGAGGCCCACGCCGCGAACTCGACGAGCGAGTCCCGCCCGCCGACCAGGCGGAGCATCCGCGCCGCATTCGCGGACAGCCCATGGCGGGCACAGAGTTCGTCCCACACGGACCGCCCATCCGGGAAGGCGAGCGTCGACAGGTGGGTCGCCGCCCGGCGCCCACGGGACGGTCGTGTAACCCTGGCGATGGAGCGAGCCATGGCTGTCGCAGCGGGAGTCCGGGGGCGCAAGCCGGGAAGGAGCAGAAAAGCTGAGGCGAGCAAGGTTCAGCCTGGCGCCGCGCGCCTTCATGAAGGAACCAAGGCCCCAACCGTCGGGCTCATGAACCCGCCGTGTCCTGGCGAGATATATGAAGTGCTCGGGCCCGCGGGGCACGAACTGTACGCCAGGGAGCCCGGCCCCACCGATTCGCCCGGCGCTCCCGGTTGTGGTGCAGGGCCGGGACAGCCAACTGTGCCCCGGGCCCGTCGCTCGACCGGCCCTGGTCTGTCAGAGCGTCGGCCAAGGCGAGCGGGACAGCCAGCTGTGTCCCGCCCCCTTGCAGGGGAGGCATCGCGCGCCCCGACAATGCGATCGCCGGCGCCGTCGACTGTAGCGTTCAATGGCCCTGGACGACCACCTGCCGAGCAGCTGAGTGACGGCCATGGATGCCCCTGGAAGCCAAGAAAGTGGCCCCGGCGACCGGCAGGCGTGCCCACCGAACACCTGGCGTTCGATCCCATTGGCGTCCCGGTACACGGTCTCCAGGCCGGTGGCCTCCAGCGCCCCCCCCAAAAAGGACCACCGAGTCCTCTTGGATCGAGTACCGCCGTCCCTACCCGGGAACAGCGGCCCCGGCGAGGCCAGCAGGCCGGCCGCCCCGAGGCGGACCAAGTGACGCATCGCCGCGTGCACGGGGCAGAGTGGGTGAGTCGTGGCTGCGCAGGCGCACCGTCTCGAGCCGTTGAGCCGAAAGCCTGTCAGCTTGAACCTTTGAGCCGCATAACTGTTAGGGAAGGGAGGCAGCGGGGCGGGGGACGCGACGAAAGCACACCAGTCATTCTTTTTCCAGCCGCTGACCTGACGATGCCAGTAACTTGCAAAACAGGGCGAGGGCGCGAGCCCAGCCCAGGCGGCGAGATAAAAATCAAACACCACGTGGCCCAGGCGAGGACGTAGAGGACGACCGGGCGATATAGCACCACCGCCTTAATCGGCGAACCGCTGTCCAGGCGTTGGAGGAGCACAGCGGGAGCACTCGTGGTGCTCGTGTGGGCGACCGTTCACCGGCAGGAAGTTCACCGGCCGAAGGCAACGGGCGCCCGTCGGGGCAAACCGTCCCATCCCGGCGATAACTGCCCGGACATTTCACAAAACACCAGCCGAACCAGGAGGTGGTGCCCGCCGGCGGTTCGCGGGGGAGCCGGCCGCCACGCCGCGTGGGCGGCAAGGACCTGACGATAAACCCGGCTGAAACGCCCTGCGCTGGGGTGTCCGCCCCAGCCGCAATCTCTGCCTCCAGCCGTTCTGCCTCCGCCCAAGTATCGGCGGTCCACTCCCGGACGGCGTAGGGGACCTCCGTGCCCCGGAGATAGGCGCCGGCCTGGTGCAGCGGGAAGCGGAAGGCGTCCCAGGCGTTGGTCGGCTCGTCCCGACGCCGAATGGCCTTGGTTCCGCGTGCCGTACCCCGCCCGACCAGGGCGATCCTCACGGCGACTTCGGTGGCGGGAAAATGCCCGATTGCCCGGGAGCAGGGCGCGCCGTCGAGCTGGTACCCGGGGTGGATGCCGAAGACGCCGCTGGTGGAGTGGATGCCGAAGACGCCGCCGGTGGGGAAGTCGAGAAGGTAGGCGCCGACGTTGGCAAAGTCGAGGCCGACGCGGAACGCCCGGCGCGGCGGCGCCGGAGGTCTGTGATCCGGGTGCAGACGGAGCACAACGTTCTGCTGCCCGCCTTCGACATGATCGACGTCGCGGCCCAGACCGATGGTGAGGTGGCCTTTTCGTCCTTTGTGGGCGATACCCCCCAGGCGGCCTTGGCAGCTGCCATCCGCGCCTTGTCGCCGGGGAGCCTTCTTCGCTTGGATGGGGCGTTGCGCCAGGCGCGTGCCCAGCCGCTAGTGGACGTGGCGCCGGCCATCGGTGGTGGCGCAAAGGCGGCGCCCGTCCCGCCGGACATCAACCTCCTCGACGACACGCCGGTGGAGCCGCCCTCCTCGTCCATGGGCGTCGTCGACCCGGGCCCTGGGCCGGCGTCCGCCAGAATTTTCTGGGAGGAGCAGAACGCCACGGCGGTGGCTGAGCAGGCGGCGGTTCGGCCGGTGCCCGACGTCGGCGAAGCGCAAGGGGCCGCCCGCCCGCCTCGTGGGCACCGAAGCCGGACAGCCCTTTGGCGGCCAGTCGGCCCGACCTCGACGACGTCCACCATCACCGGGGGCGCGCCCACCAGAGGCGCCCCGGCGGAATCGGCGAGGAGTTCCTCCTCGTCCTCGCTGGAGGAGGGCACGCCCATGACAGGCGGCGCGATGTCCTCCTCACCTGTCGTTGGCTCGACCAAGGCCGGCTCGCCCGAGGTGGGCGGCGCGGCGAAATCCCCATCCAAGGCACCACCAGGCGAGTGTGATGCCGTAGCCGAAGGCTCGCCCAACATAGGCGGCCCGGCGCTGCTCCCAACGCCCGCGGCGGGCGCAGCCACCACGGAAGATGCCAAAGGCGCCGGCGACGAAGTAGGGCTGACGAGGTCCAGCCCAGCCATCGCCGCGTAGTCGGCGAAGTCGGCGTCAACCACGTCGCCCGGCGCAGAAGGACGAGAAGCCATGTCTCGAAGAGTGGCGAAGGGAGCAAGGGGGAAATCGAAAACGGTCGAGCCGAAGCAGCAGCAGCTGCCCGGCCCGACCGCTTAAGCTTGTACCTGCGCACACGCGTGTGCTACACCACATCGTGCATACGCATACAACCCCTCGTTGACCGGGCAGTCTCCCCTGCAAGAGCAAGCAACGTCGACATCTCTAAATTCCTGATGCGAAGCAAGCCAGCTCATATCAACATCACACTTTGCAAACAACTCTGCATAGTACATTATAGTATACTGCAGTCACATGGCAGGACTGCTGTGCCTAGCGAGAGCAGGAAGGGGTTGAGACCAAAGCACCGTCGATCATGCGGGCTCTCTCCCTTCGTTTGGGACCGAGTGGGTTCGCCCATGCCTGTGTTCTCTGCGCTTCACTCACCCTGTCTCCCTTCCTGCCACGGTTTTCGAATGTCGCCTACCGTGTAGTCCTAGCAACTTCCGGACTTGGGTGAAGAAGTGGTTGCTCCACTTCGACTGCCGGTCTTCGCCTGCCGGCATACTTGTCGCATGGTGTCGCCCATTCTGCTGGGTTCCGGGTTAGCACCGATTCGCGAAAATCTCGCGCTCCGAGCGGCTTCGTGCAGCGGCTGGTGCGGGCATGGAGGCCGCGACCCGGGATTTGCGCATGTACCGCGGATTCGCGCAAGGAGCACTTCGTGCTCTGGACAACCCGAAGATAAAACCTCAAAGCCCGATCCCAAAGATACCGAATGCAATGACCCGAAGCGACGTAGAGCTAAGACGACTGTTGCCTGCCCGATTATGTTGGTTCGGAGTTGCGCCGCGACTCCTCTTGGCGTGGAACGCGGAAGGTTGACTCGAGGACGCTTGCAGCATGCACTGCATACTCAATGTCAGCAAATCGAGATGTCGATGCCTCAAGCGACTCGGCATGTAGTTCGGCCTGGGGCAAAGTTTATGACCGTGCACTGCGGTTGACGAAATAACGTCATGCTCATCCCTTCCAACAGTCAGGGCTTGCCTCGGCAGTCGCGTACCTGGCCTGCAGATCCGTCACTTCCTGGCGAAAGGAACTCAACAAACCCATGTGTACGGGCTTGTCCTTTCCATGTCCTGAAGCATCAAGCTGCAGCTCCTGCAACTGCTGGCTCCGAACGTGCCTAGCAGATGCAGCAGAAACAGCAGCTTTTCCGAAGCTGCGGGATCTCTGCTCCTCAACAGGCTCACACGTTCGTCATAGGCCTTGGGTTCGCTTCGCTTCCTGTCGCTTCGACGAGAAGGCACACGTAGGAGGCACACGTGGCACTGTCGCATCTTTACGCACTCCTCGGCTTCCGCCAGAAGCGCTCCCAAACCAAGTGAAACCTTCAGAGCGATGCACGCCACGAGCATGTGGGTTCTGCAGTCCCGACCTGTTTGCATTGTTGCCTCCGAGCCTTTCAGGGACGGCCAGCAAGAGTCAGCGAGAGCGCGTTTATCGGGAAGAACTAGCGGCAAGCCTGTTGATCTGCACGCAGGGCAGCCAGAAGAGAACGTGCATCTGCTGCAAGCTGTACCGTCAAGTCCTTGAACTGCCAGCTACCAGCATTATTAAGGATGCCGGAGCAGTGGCATCAGTTGAGCGATGGGCATCCGAAGGCTCCGGAGCAGTCGTGGTGATGGCCTTGAAAGAGAGCTGACATACACCGACACACGCTCACGCACACGGTGAAAAAAAGTCTTCGCTTTGGCCGACTCACGGTCTGTTGCAGGGTCGCAGGCCAAGGGTCTCGGAGGTCGACAGATTCCAGGTGCATCCTGCAAGCATGAGTCTGTGAAGATCCAGAAGTAAGTCGTTTGATAGCCGAGACGCCAGTGGAAAAGACTCGTCGAATTCCATCCCTGCCTGCAGCGATGCTACGAACACTCTGCTCGAAGGTGCACAACCTTCGTGGGAAAGCTCGTCCATGCACCCCTCCTGGAAGACTTGCATAAGGAGAGCAAACAGAAGCAGAGCGAGAGCGAAAAGGCCGACTCGGGCCAGGACTCTGGAACTTTAGAAACCAAGCCGGGTACTTTACAAATCACGATGTGCATCGAGTCCCGTACCTCGTACTGGTGCAGGCCATGCTATCGGGCGGCCTGCAGCGCAATTTGCGGCCTTTGCAACAATTTTGAGCCCTCTCACTCTCAGCTGCCTTCTGCTAGTCGACCTCCGAATAGCTGTTACATCCCGCAACCTGCATTGAGAGGCGACTTTCGGTCTATCACAACCTCTGTCGCGAACTCACAAGAAGCCAAACAGCCCTGCCTTTCCGGCGGCACGACCAAGCTGACGATTGGTGCCCACTGGAGACTCTTATTGTAAAATTTAAGCAAATCCGTGCCCAACAATCAAGCTTTGTTCTCACAGTACAGGGATTTTCATTGAGCACATGCTGCGCTTGCGACTTCTTGGCTGTCTTGCTGATTGCCCTTGCAAAGTAGAGAGTGTCATCGCAAGACGATAGAGCCTATTCTTGGTACGAACACAACCGACCACGATGACATGTTAGACCTCCTTCTTACTGCTGTGTGTAATCAACATCCTGAATGTGATACAGTGTCAAGAGTGGCGAAACACGCCTGACCAACAATCCTGCTTTGTATCAGGCCACGGAGCCCCTCTCCTCAACCCTGCATCTCCACGGAAGTACATACTATGACGGTATGTACCTTTTCAGGGGTTACTTGAGGCATGTGAAACTAGGGAAAACCTGCTAGTTACTAGTTGTTCGATTGGGAGCTAACTGCATTAAGTCGCAACTACAGCCCGTCACGCTGAAAGCCTTCCGAAGCATCGCTGTCAGAGAACTCTTGGATTACATTGTTGCCACACAAAAGCAACAACTGCACAAGGAGCCGGGTCAGCTGGACACGCTGGCAAATGGAGAGATGGCTTCTCTGTTTCTTCGAGGAATCAGGAGTGAAAGAGGCGCCCTGCATTCGGCAAGTGAAACGCGAGAGCTTGCTGGAGATTGCATTGCCATGTCGACGTCGCATCGCGTTGTAGGCTGCACTGAACACAGCGCAAAGGCTACATCAGGCTCTAGGATGGCCCAGTGCGCAGAGCGATTGTCCCTCACTTCCGTTCATGTCCAGAAGCAGTGGCACTCGGCGGACAGTCGTCGAAGATCACCACTCCCAAGCTTGTGCTGCGCTCTACTGGATCCAGCCTGAAGGCAGCATAGCAGATGACATCCTTACTTGCTATTCGCCGCTTGAGTCATAGCCAGGGCTGCTGCCCTTTTTGACAAAGCGCTCATACTCCTCCCGGTCTTGCCTTTCGACCTCAAGGTTAACCAAGACCACGAGCTGTACACAGAAATCTTTGCCAAGTCGCCATCTTTTGAACTCGTTCTTTCGAGTATGGGTATGGTGGAAACGGCCTGATGGGTCCCGTCTCGGTCTTCGCACGCAACAGCCGGCCGGACCTTGAATCGCCCGCTTCTTTGAACATCTGGCAATACCGCAACCAGTCTTCTTCTGCCAATGCTTGGATTTGTTCCAGAGAGTGGGTCCCCCACCTTATAGTGCCAGAGGCAGAGATGAAAACTACATCAGCAAAGGAATTCTGATCTTTGGGCTAAACACTGAGACTTTGGCTGCTTCTTGCGCTTGAAGCTGTCATCATATTTCGCAGTCACTTCTGCGAGCTCGGGACACAGGCTGCTGATGGCAATCAGAGTTTGTGATCCGATCTTTGCATCGAGGACGTAGCCTGTACACAAGGTCTGTGAAAGATGTCCACATCAGAATGGAACTCAACCAAAAAAAGCATCGGGCAGCCTGGCTCATCTTTCTGAAGATTTGGGAAATGCTTCGGCAGCATGCCGGTAGCCATCATCTTGTCGAAATCCTGTGGATACTTCCTTGGTCTGCTGGCGCAACTATTCGCAACTTCAGTGGATCACGACAGGCTGGCAATTTCTTGGCTGCGAACCGGGCACCAGAAATGATAGAAGATATTGCACCATCCCACAGCCCCAGGAGACAGAGATGTTCCGCCAAATCTTTGCGCATTTACTGTCGGGAACTCCGACATTGTGCCAATCCGGTAATCGTCGTTGACCTGAGAACCCACTCACAACAAACATGCCAAGCCTTGCGCTTGGCTCGTTTTGCTGTTGCAGTTGTGGTGGTTCTCTTTGCTGGCATTGTAGTTTTCACATGTAACAGGGCCTGCTATCTCAGCATCGCGAAAACCTGTAATAAGCAGTTTAATAAGCGATAGTGCTGTTTCCGCTTGCGGTTGCGCTTGCCTCTGCCCAATTGCCGCTGTCGCTGCAGCTGCCACTGTCGCTGCTGCTGTTGCGGTTGCTGTTCCTGTTCCCGTTCCTGTAAAGTTGTTTCTGTGACTGATGCTGGTGGTGCTGGTACTGTTTCTGTTGCTGGTGCTGGCGCCATCGACATCCCAGGTAGCTCATGTCCGCCCCTGAGTCTTCACATTTCCTCGGACTCCAAATCCCGAGCTCATTGACATATGCGACTGAAACTCCACAGCAGCACAGGCAGCACTTGAGTACGCAAAGCCGTACTGAGCTGCACTGCGAAGAAATTTGGCCGCAGTTAACCGATTGGGAACAGCGTTGCGAAGGGTCAGGGCAGCGAAACCTCGAGAGGACCGGCTGGAAACCGGCCCAAGCCGGCAGACAGCTTGGCATAGCTTGACTGGCCAGAGCAGAGACCGTGAGAGAGAAGGGCTTACTAAAGACTTGAGGGTTCATGAGCGCGGGCTGGTGCTGGCTCTGTTGCGGCGGCTGCTGCTGCTGCTGCTGCTGCTTCTGCTTTCGTTGCTGCTTTTGTTGTTGTTGTGGTTGTTGTTGTTGTTGTTGTCGTTGTCGTCTCTGTCGCTCTTATTTTGGATGCAGTTCTGGTCCTTCTGGTTCTTGGTCGGAATCTTGTTGTTGGTGGCTCTGAGTTGTGGCTCTGCTTTTGCATCTTGATTAATGCTGGTTGTGCTGGTGATGGTGGTGGAAGCGGTGGTGGCGACAATTGTGGTTTCACCGCCATCTCTTCCCGCGCTGGATATTTTCGTTGCCGTTTGCATACAAACATCTACACCAAAGTCATCGTGCAACTTTCAGCTGTCATCTCATGTGTCGTCAGCGTCAAGGCGATGGCAACCAATGCTATCAGACATGCTCAGCGGACTTTTAACCGACTACACTTGGGCACCCTGTCATCCTGGGTGTACTGCCCAAATTCCCGAGAGGTGCTTCAGCTGGAGGAACTTGTCCACAGCCCATTCCGGCACGAATCCGAAGAGCTTGAGAACAGCCTCCGCAGAAAAAGATATCCAACTTGTTCGACAATGTACCGTAGACTACTAGCATGGTCATGGACCAGCACCACTAAGATGCCAAAGAGCTAGGGAATGATGGTTATCTTCATTGTCTTTCCGATTGTTCTGTTGCCGGGTTGGGACTTGGAAAAACCTGACGTTTGCCTTCAAAGAACGACACTTTAGACGTGTACACTGGGCTGTTGCGAGGAAGCGCACGGAATCTCGCATTTTTACATACTACATACTACCTACCTACCTACATATATATATATATATATGATGGCCGTATATGGTGATTAGCATGATAGTTCTGATGTGTGGTGACTGCTTTGCTTCTTATGAATGCGTTTTTCATTCTTGTCATGACAAGAACTCGTGAATTTAATGACCGTCTCCAGCATTTGGGGCATGCATCCTGCCTGAACATCCTCCAACTTGGTGCCATCCTCCAAATGAAGCGACTTCTCACTGAGCCTTTTGATGGTTCCTTGAACCACCTCGGTCTTGCCGTAGTACCTCACCGCAGCAGGGTGACCGATGTCAAAGCGACTAGAGAACCATGAGCATGCACCGCCTGCCTTGAAAGAAAGTAAATGTCGCCGATCCCAAAACGAGCCTGCAGCCGTTGGTCAGCTGATTCAAACACACAAAGCGAAAATTGGTTGCAACCTTCCTGGTCAAGTAGCCGAGTCCAACTTAAGTAAGGTGTCTCAAACTCGTTTGGATGCTGAAGTGCTTGCTGTATCAGAATTCCAGACAGTCAGCTCGGCTGCGTACTTCTGGTCCAGTACTGTCGCAGCCAACAAACTACACAGAATTGCACTAGGTTCTTTATAACCTCAGCAGAAAGATCATCGGAGGTCCGAGGATGCTCCGATCAGTTGCTCTGAGTCAAGCAATGCCGAAGATTGCAGGATGGCCGTTCCTATCGGCAAGTCGAAGCTTCGTTGCCATGATAACCTCCTGCGTATTCACGCTCGGCAAAAAGTGAACAACTCTGTGACGTTTTATGATTGTGACTGCTGGGTTTGCCCATGAGACCTGAACACACTTTGTTGCCAATGCTATGCCAGCCTAGTTTTGTTAAAGGCAGCGTGCCTCCAAGTTTCCAAACACAACAGCTCAGCAGCGGCCTTCTGAAAGATGGTGACATTTGTCCGAGACTCGTTGCAAAGGACTGCATAATATCCCCACCTGTGATCCATTTTTCCAGCTCACACGCACAGAAACTGTCCAATCTGTGGTCCGCACGGATCGTCCCCCACCATCTTGTACGCATCCTGGAGCGTGCAGCCTAGACCCCACTTGCAGAAAAGAGCTTAAGAGTTGCGAGGACGTGGATATGAGTTAGAATCTGCTTAAAATCTATACATCGACATACATAATCACGGCTTGCACGCCCCCCCCCCCCCCCCCGAATCAAATACGCTTCTTGATTTTCTTGGTTCCGGAGTGGCGGACTTCGAAGCTTCATGGGGACAAGACCTGCATGTGCCAGGCATAGCGGCATAGAGCATGCCTTCAAGACATTCATCGTGCAAACTTCCAGCCCTCGGGATGGATACCAGCTGCAA